TGGTCTTATCACACAGAGTTTTATATTCAAAAGCTCCTGAAGCTTACAAATATAATTAATTAAATTAATTACCACTAACTATAATTGAATAATCAACCTTGTCTATAAAGAGTTAGATGCCTAAACCACTAGGCTATGAGACCTTAACCTATATAAATACATCTTTTAAAATTACTTAGTATATTATATATATATTTATATTTTATAACTCTATTTTAATAAGTATATATAGTAATATATATATAGTATATATAAATATATAAATAATTATAGCTCTTGTAACTAATAAATTAATATTAATTAATATTTATATGAATTAAAAATTTATGAATATCACTATGTAAAAGATAATAAATATATATATATTTTGTATCTGTAACCCAACTACGAGGTATCTATTTAAGCTTTCTGGTCTTAACATATTCGGTCTGATGCCTATTTTAACACAAGTGTAACTCACTATTCAAATGTAGATTTTGCAATACTACTATATAATCAGCCAACTTAGGACACTTTACTATTTTTGAAGGTAAGCCCAACAGAGCAATACATGTCTCACACATGTATTCATCTGCATGTTTCATAATATCTTTCTAGTTAGTACCTGTTGTATTACTATTACTGAGTTTGTATTTCAAGCCATCCTTTAGAGTGCTGCCGTAACCTGATCCATATCTCAAGCCACAACCTTCTTAATTAGTTTCCTATTATGTACTCATTGCTCTTATTCAATTCACAACTACCCCGGTACTCATATTTGAAACTGTCTTTTTACCTAGATTCTTTATCGGTCCCTTCGTTACTTCCAGCTGGCAACCTAAAAGGGTTAGTTTGCCTAGGCTTTAGGTGCCTGAAGGATGCCCTCCTCTTGGTTTATACTTTTAGAGCATATACTCTTTTCCTTCAGTACGTTGGTCTGGCAGTTTAGCTAGTGTATCTCTCTACTTAAGCACCTAATTACTCAGTTCTCTGATCTCAGGCTCTGGTTCAAATTCAGCCCTCCTGTAGTACTGTTAAAGATCACTGTTTCCTCCAAGTTTGGGACTTCCCAAATAGGTTTTTGGTTATGCTAGTTCCTTAGATTTATTGTACCTAAGCTTCTATTACTAGATGGTGTAATCAAAGTTACAGATTTTAGTTCTAGATCTAACCAATAAGTATGGCCATCAACTGGAACACAAGCTTATTTTTCAAATATCATCGTCCATAGAATTTAAACTCTAGACCTGCCAATTGGAAAAGGTGATAACTAAACTACTACACTAAGTTGCCACACCTCTTAAATTTTGTAGCTAATCAGTTACTGATAATATATATATATAGTATTTATAAGATCAGAGACTTTAAATTTATTGTACCTATTAGATTTTACAAATACTCAACTCCTTCTAACAATCACTTGAACTACAATTTTTTTACTAAGAAAAAATATAGTATATTAGTATAAAACCATAGAGTAGACCAAATACTATACAAACTCTAGTATAACTTGATTTTAATAAAAAGAAAAAATCTACACTTTTTTAAGTGGTTCTAAGTGTTTTTCTTTCTTATTTATATTTTGCTGACTTTACCAAAATTTTTGATGAAAAGTGGGCATTTCAGTTTACTCTCTTTAAAAGATTGGCATTGTTTATATCTTTCATTTTCAGATAGACAAAGTAGAACATAAACACAAGATTGTTTTGGCAATAATGATCTACACCATGTGACAAACCAATCAGTGTCTTGGTTAATGAACTGCTTCAGACCAGATAGTGAAAATTTTAATGATAAAGCTTAGCTTTACAACAGAGATATACAAAATTATTAAATTTAGTATATAATTTTTACAACTTGTACCTGACATAGATTATAATAGTGTTTTTATAAATTGTTTTTTTTTGCCTTTTTCTTCTTATTTTATTTGTTTTTTGCTATTTATTTTCTTGTTGCTTAGGCAGTTTCTTTATTTACTTTTTTTTGTCTCATTCTTTTATATTTTGTTAGTATTAGTTTTTTTTTCATAAGTCAGTTAGAAACTATGAATTCTTCTGCTCAGAAAGCTAGAAGAAGAAGGTTAGAAAAGAAGATAATCTTGATAGGCTATAAATACAGTGGCCTACTATATTATTATAGACACTTTTTAAAATCTTATATTAAGCTAAATAAATAAGATATAAATCTAAAAATTATACAAATTATTATTTAACTTTCAAATTTTTAAATAAAAAAAATTTTGCAAAATTCTATACAGTAGTTTTTAAATTAATTAAGGTTATACAATTTTGTGTAATATTACACTTATACAAAATTAGTAATTTTAAAAAATTAGTTATCATAATTACTGTATATTAAAAAATTTTTTTTATTAAGTAAACTATATATTGTTATTATGTAAAATTTGTTCAGTATAATAAATTATATATAATTTTAAATTTTTAAAAACTTTTAAAAAATTTTAAGATAAATATTATTATTTAAAGTTAATGTTAAATTATTAAAATAAAATTAACAAATTACCAAATATAGTAATTTTATTACTATATATAGTAATTTACAAAATAAATTTTTAAAAATTATAAAATTTTCAAAATATGTACAATTTATCATACTACATAACTTTTTAAAAAAAAATTGCTAGTATACTTGCTAAAAAATTAAGTTTTATATATACTAAAAATTAACATTTAAATTTATACTAAACCTATATTAAAAACTAGTAAATCATACAAATGAAAAAATCCAAAAAAAAATTAAACTTAACTATTTCAAAAAGTACTGCATAAAATTTTGTAATTTTTTTTTTATTTAAAAGCTTTAGATTCAAATAATCTTTTGTATAATTTTTAGCTTTGTATCTTATTTATTTAGCTTAGTATAAAATTTCAAAAAGTGTCCATAATAATATAGTAGGCCACTATAGGCTATATAAATTATATAATATTGTATAGAATAAAATCTAATCTAACACTATAAATAATAAATGAAGTGGAAAAGAAAATAAAAGAAAACATCTAATGTTAAAAGATTTTTACACATAATCCCTTCAACCTCTAATACATTATCATTGTTTATTTGGCAAAACATAATCCAAATAAGCTCATAGAAGATTTCATTTTAGTAGAAGCATCCTAATTTGGAAGAAGTAAATACTGCTAATCTTTTGAAAGAGTATGCTAGTTTTCCCACTTTTTGGCCAAAATTTTTAAAAAATTCCAAAATAACAAAAATATGATAAAGGGTTTTTGGTTGCAAGTACTTTCAAAACTTCTAAAGAGTGTATTAAAATCTAAAACTTCTGTTGTTTTTCCTGTGTTCTTCTTTGAAGTAACAGCCTTTGAGCTTCATCAACAAAATAGAAGCCTGCTTTGAGACTTTCTCTCTTCACCAAGATTTTTTACACAAGGGCACTGCCTGCCAGTTATCTTGTATAATAATGCTTCTGGCTTGCATGCCGAATATTCTTTTAGAGGAGTCTCCCAGACCTCAGGTTGATCTCTAGACAAACTGCACTATAAAGCCATGTCTTTCCAACAAAAGTTTTGTTTTTTGTTAGTTAAAATTTTGGCACAAGTGATCATCAGAGAGAGTTGTGTTTTTTTGTATTTTGAATAATGCTAAGTAATTACTATAAAAAATTAACAATATTAGATAAAATAATTAATAATGATTAAGAAAAAAATATTGTTAGTAATATAGTATATAAAAATAATTAATTATAATTAAAATAAAAGAGTGTTGCTAACTTTTTCCCTAGATGACATCACCTAGTTGCATAAAAACCAATCAGATTGCTAGATCTTCGTAATCAAAACAAAAAGAAAAGAAAAAATTTAAAAAAACTTTAATAACTCTAAATTTTATTATGAAAACTATATTTCAACTTCTAAGCAAAAGTTTTCAGCTTTTAATTTTACATATATAAACCCTCCTACTCAAACCCTAACCTAACTTTAGCTTAAGCCTAACCCTAATATTGACTACACGTAAATTTATTTTAATAAAAATTTTATAATACCGGGTGATATCACCATGGGTGAAAATTAGTTATAATCAATTTATTATTATTTATTATTATTATTATTATTATTTTATTTTATTTTTATTTTTTTATTTTTTTTTGGAAATATTTAAAATTATATTTATTTAAACGAACTTTAAAATCTTATATTTTAAAAGTCTTAACTGTTCTTTATCAAGCATTATAAAGTGACTAAATAGTTCTTTAATATATTTATAAAAAGTTGACGCGTTTTAAAAATGGCGCTATTTTTTTATTTAATATAGACTACCAGCACAATATATTTAAAGTTTTTAAAAGCCTAAAGTATTTTTATTAAAATATATACATGGATTAACTAGTTTTTGAGATACCACATACGTGTGTTTTAAAAGAAAAAAGTAATCAAATTTAAATATAAATTAAATATCAAAATTTTTTTTAACTGCATATTAAAAGTTTTATTAAAGAAGAAAAACTGTAAAACAAGTTCTCAAGTTTAAAATCTATTAATATATATAAGTTTATATATACTATATTTGATTAGGAAAAGTAAAAATGATGAAATGTAAATTTAGTAAGATATCACGTCCACTAATTATAAAAAAATTGCATTACAGTATATAATCTGTAAAATACCTTATTTTTCTAGACATGAAAGTTTCTAATTGTGCGTTTATAACTAATACGACTTTGGCAATTAATTGTACGTGTCTGACTTATTATTATCTTTTTAAGTATGTACTTAGTAAGTAAATAGTGACATGAAGTATATAATAACGTTGCATACCTATTATAATAATCATAAAACAACCTACTGCAAACACAATCTATACAACCTGTAAAGTATTGTCTATCCGTTTGATTTTTTTATTATTTATTTACATAAAACGCATTTTCTTGATTTACAAAAAATAAAAAATAAAAGAAGAATGCTTCATTCAATCAATGAAATTTATCAAATACGAAATGAGAAAAACAATAAAACGGTAAAAAAAATAAAATAAAATAATCGATTTTATTTTCTCGCTGATCTTGATGATTCAATTTGTGGATCTCGTGGTAGAGCTTTTTTTTGCTTAAGTTGTTGAATCAACATACGTCTTTTTTTCTCGTACATCTATAAAACACACCTCATTGTCAGAAAAATAAAGTATATCTATAATAAGTGCATAAATTATGAATTTCTAGATGACTTACTTCTTTTTGATCATCAGTCATTTTAGCCCAACCTTCAGCAGCGAAAGCAACAAACTCTGGACTAGTCAACCCCTTACTAAAAAATTGAACGGTGGAAATCTCCAAGCAATAATATCCAAAAGCGGTAGTTAGTTTTCTTTGTTCATGGCTTTCAGGAATATTTGTAAGATCTGTAAAGTTCAAGACGCTTTCGGGGATACATTTATTTTGCCTTCTAGCATAAGTTCTTGTGTTAGATTTAACTTTGTAAGAGGGTGTAGCATCTTTTTCCTTTGTGGAGCTTCTAGTAGTTCTAACAAATTTAGGACTTCGTGTAACTTGCTTCGTAGATCTTCGTCGAACAGTATTTGAACCTGACTGTAATGTCGACTTGTTGATTTCAGCAAAAGAGGTAAGTGTCTTACTGCGTAGATTTGCTCTAGGCGGTTTCTGGCTTCTAGTATTATATACCTTTCTGGAACTCTGTTTCTTTGATCCAGTAATTGAATCGTCTTCTTCAAGAGGGACTTCAAATGGCGAATTCGTGTTCACTAATTTAGTGTTTGCAGAATTAGTGCTAACTAAATTGGGGCTCACTAAATTAGTGTTCACCAAATTCGTGTTCGCTAAATTAGTTCTCGCTGAGTTGTTGTTGACCGAATTCGTGTTGATAGCAGTTTTGTTTACACGCGCATTTTTATTATCATAAATCGTAGTATTCTTAGAATCTCTATATTCTATGGCGAAATTTTCATTAGAAGCTTTGTAATGTTTGCACGATTTTCTTCAAAGTTTTTTCATAAATTTCATTTGATAAGCTCAAAAAAATATTTACACTTACCTGGCTTATTCAATTGCGTACTCGATTGCGTACTCGATAACGAACTTGATAACGATCTCGATTGCGTACTCGATGGTGTATTTAATTGCGCATTTGTAATTCCATTTAACCTATATCTTTTCTTAGACATCCCCATCATTTCTTTTATTTTTTGCCACTTATCATTCGTAGGAGGATCTATCCGAATAATTGTTTCAGGAGGTAAAATCTTTTCCAAACTAAGATACGCTTCATATGCTCTTTGAGCAGCTTGATCAAATTCGTATAAAGCAATATCAAGCTTTTAACATAATCCCCAATGATTAATAAAGATAAAGATCGAAGAAAGTGAAAAAAAATGATTGATTTAAATAAATTAGAGAACGAAAGAAACGGAAGAATAAGTTAAAGAAATTAGAGAATGAAAGAAACGGAAGAGTTAAAGAAAAAAAATAACTTACAACTTCATACTGGTCAAGAACATCTTTAGATAATTCCGATTCATCGGTTATTTGTTTTAAATCATCCTGATAAGAAGAAGTTGATAGACTTTCTTTTGGATTTTTTGAATAAAGGTCACCTTCCGAATTATTCAGATTATAAATCTGAATTGATTCTTCTTTGTTATATACTTCCCTTTGTTTACCCTTATCGACTTTCTTTTTTTGAAAATTGAGAGTTTGATCGGATAAATTATCATTGACGTCACTATTTAATTCAACGATAGAAGATATTTGAGGACAAATTTGTTCATCAACGCTGGTAGAAGTTGATTGAGCGATTCTATCCAAACATTCATAATCATTATTATTAATATCAACTTTTCCATTAATAGAATTCAACGTATCAGAAGGTTTAATATCTTGAATTAAACCCATTTTAACATCTTTTTGCAAAACTTTTTCGACAGATTCAGTACTTGAAATAGTCTTTGTGAAATTGACTTGATTATTATCTAAAAGCATTAGATTTAAATCCGGATCAATGAGTGGTTTAAAATTAGAATTAGACAATGTTGTTGTTGTTGTTGTTGTAACAATGGAAGAGACATTGAGGTTTGTGGGACGTTTATTGCCAAAAGTGGACAAAGGATTATCAGAACGAGATTGAACAGTTGAAGAATCCTGATTAACGGTAAAATTGGCCCTTATTTTATATTTGAAAGGGTTTGGTTTAGGAGAAAGTCGGAAGGAAATGAGTTTTGGATGAGATGGTCTAAAAAAAAAAATTAAATAAAACAGGGGGTCAGTAAAAATAAAAATAAAGATCACGTGAACAAATAATTGTAAGTATTTTAGGGAGTAAGGATATAAATAAATACAAACAAATAAATACAAATCGAAATAAATACTTTAAAATTAGACCGTTTGACAAAGGATTATGTTGGATAGATTTCGGTGTAAAAGAACCTTTATTAGTTTCGGAATTTTTAGCATCAAGATTTTTACCGGCCTCGGAACCACTATCCAGGTCCATATCGACTACTTCGTCCTCAGGGTCACCCATGCCAATATATCTACACGGCTAATTACTTTTTACCCAAGATAAAAATTTTTAGGGTAATAAAGAAATTGGAACAGAAGTCAATTATGAGAAAAAAAAAGGGGATGATAAAAATTATTGATTTTAGGCGTTTTTAATACCTATTTATGCGTAAACAAAGGATCATCGTTATTAATATTGTAACACGTGCGAAAGTACCCGATTGATAAAACTCGTGACTAGAATATGAGGTAATTAACCGATTTAGTAAGTAACACAAAAATTCTTGATATTCACGTTCTAAATAATCAATCATAATATATCAATCTTTTTTTGATGAAGAAAACGCTTTCTGAATGGTTAGTATAATCCATGAAAGGTGTATGTATGTACGTACGTACATAATCTGTTACATGACATTAAATAAATATGTTCAATAATTCAAAAAAGATCAGGGTCGCATTTCTGGAAAAACAATCGAAACATTTGATTTAAGGTTAAAGTTCCATATAGAAATTAAAGTTCTATATAGAAGAAAGTCTGTGATCATAAACATAGGAATAAAGATACATGATTAGCGATCTAAGGTAATACAGAATATTCTAGCAATCACATCTTATTACCAAATATGCAGATTACAAATACGGTTAAATAGACGCGAAAACTAGAAAAATATATTCTCCCGCATACATTAGCGAACAGATTGCATGCTTCTGATTATTAGTTTACTTTATTTGAGGGTTTAATGTTTCGGTTTATCATTTACTTTATCAATAATTATGAAAATTTTATCAAAAAACAAAAGATATCACAAAAAGGTATTCCAAACTTCATCTTTCAAAAAGTTGTAATTTCAATTCAAGAATTAAAATAGTTAAATATGTACGTAATAGAGCTACAATATAAATTTCCAACCAAATATTTCTACCCCTTTAGGATGATGCATCTATTCTATTTTAATTTCAACCTTCCTTTTTTGTTAAATAGCTATCCGTCCTCAAAATACTGAAATAGTATTGGTACGTATTTTATTTTACAAATCGTTAATAAAAATAAATTATAACGATAACAATAACTTTATAATTTAAATTCTGCTGTATCAGATTACATATGATAGCGCCGTTTAGTTAGAATCGTCATGTTTGCTTAATATTGTTTGCATTTGAATTCTACTAACCATTTATTGAAATGCTAAAAGCAATGATTTTATGAATTGACTACTGTTTTTAGAGCTTGGGCCCTCTATTCTTTTACCAAGTCCTATGGCTATATTAAAAATCAAGTGACCCATATAAAATACTATATGTTTCCATTTATAGAACAATGGGATATATTTATTCCTATTCGAATTACACGAAACTTTGTATTCATGTAATGAATTCTTGGCTTATTTTGGTTTTCAATACTCTGAATGCTTTCCTCATTCATCCGTCTAAAACCAAAATTTACAAATTTTTATGGCTTTTTAATATCACAATATTGAAATTCGAGATGGCTAATCTAGAGACTGTATAAAAATCGTTATCTGGATATTATCAAAATATTCAGTTACCCAAGCAAATTATTATATACTGTATTTCTCTAATCGGGTACAATGTCTAGACTAATCATGAAAAGCATAAATACCGTAAAAGATCTAAACATTAGTCCATTAATTCTATTTTTTTAGAGGTGTTGTAAGTTTTGTTTTTAGTGAGAATTTCTGGTCTTCTAGTGAGGTTTGTTAGTTATATCCTAGGCAATGTTTAAACCTCAAAAATGACTTGCACAATAGCAGGTAAAAAAATTCTTTTTGCTTGCACAAATATAGTTTTGCAATATATATATTTATATTTATGTTGTACTTTAGATCTGTTCTTGTCAATCGTCAGATGAGTACGCAACCTGTTGATTGTCATCCGGGGTTCCTCTATCGTCATTTACCACTTGAGGTATTATCATTATAATTCGGTATGTCGTAAGGTAGTGACATATTAATCAGCCAAAGTAATTAAAAAACCTAAACAGTTATTGCTATCAATAGTTAACAAATTGAAGTACGTACGTTCAATTACAAGAATTGATTATAAAATGAAACCAACAGTTATCATTACTCCATTTGTGTTCTTTTTTATTTTCGAAAAAGTACATCCTCTTTTTTTCTTAATAACCTTTAGTTTATAGTATTATTATTCAAATTCAAAAAACTATTCATATCATAATGCTTTTCAAAAATAATGATAATGCATCAACGTTCTTAATTAAATATGCAAACATTGGTTTCAAAAGTTTGGGCAATAATTTTAAATAAATGTCAAAGATATACAGGACCTTTTTTACTATCTTGCTAACAGTAAAAAGTTTCATGACTATATTTACAATATCCTCGGTGCAGTATAATGAAGTAATAGAAAAACGATATATCATTTGGTGATTAGTAAAAGAGACTTTTCATCCTCCAGATATAGCTAATAAAATAAGTATGTATTGTACAATTTATAAGCTTTTCTTTTAGGTTGCCTTAAGCCATATTTTAACACGAAAAGTGGGTGAGATATTGTTGTGAGATATATAAGATTATTGTTGAGTTGATAAAGTAACCAAAAATGCATATTTGGTGAGTAGGGTAAAAGATCAAGTGTGTTGATAAATAGGTTGATATTGCTAAATTTTAGTGTTGGAAAAGTTGTCTATAGAGAGGAATAAAATATTGTAGTTTGTAGATAGTGTTCCTATGAACTAAACCGAACTGAACTTAGGGTAAGTTCAAAATTTGAACCTGGACTATAACAAAAAATGGTTCAAGTTCAGTCGATACTGAACTTTCAAAATGTGTTCAGTTCAATTTCGAGTTCAGTTCGAAAATACATGAACTTGTTCAGGAGTTCAGGCTTGGAAAATTCATAACATTGCCTCCAGAAAAATTGATGATCACTAGTGAGTTTATAATGTTAAATAACATCACTTAGACATTCGTTTTGACTTCACTCATCTAAGTTGAAAAGTTGACACAAGTAAAATAATAAATATTCGTGAGTTACCTGTATTATTCTAAGCACTTAGATTAATAAAATGCTCTTTGTATTCTCCGGATATTATACAATATAAGTGGACAAATAGTAATTTTTAGAAATGGCTGAGCTGTAATAAAAGTTGATTTAATGATTACAAATCACTTAAAACAGAAAGTTTGATTACAAATCACAGAGTATAAATTATAGTTCTTGCCATTTTGCTGGAACCGGTTCTCACATCTGTCATACTATCTACTGATTAAAAAGAATGACTTGGAAATACTGATGCGGTAGAATCATCCCAGTGATTATCGTAACATAGTAAGCAATATCTAATATTAAGTTACGGCATTATAACTATAATACTTACCATAGTTACAGCAAGTTATGACAAGTTACAACAATCATTGGGACGATTTTATCGCATCACTACTTGAAAGTTGCCAACTTTAAAAACATTCCGGGCGTTGTTATTATGAAGGAACACAGGTAGAACGATAAATCTTTTCGACAAGTATTATTTCAAAAACCTTTGGCGTGATTTGCAACCTTTCTAAATATCTTCTAAATATTTTAAATTACCTGTGAAAAAGATATGAAGAGTTACATATTATGCCAAAGATTTTTGTAAGATTACTTGTAAAAAAGCTTATTTTTTATTATATCCAGACATAACCCCAGTCATACCCGGTATTCTATTACTTCAATAGGATATAAAACCGGTTATTGGATTTTATTTAAAGATTATGCTATAACCTTTCGAGTAAAAAGTTAACCAGGTATAATCACTAGCTTCTATGATTTACCTGCCCAATAAAAAAATTATTGGGCAGAGCAATAGCTAGGGATGTTAACGGTCCAGTCCAGTCTAGCTTGGTCTATTTTTAGCCCAGTTCAGTCTGGTCTTTTTCAGTTTAATTACAGTTTAGTCCTAAGACCAATTAAAGAACCAACAGTCCAAACTTTCGGTCTGAATTTAGAATAAAAGACTGGTCTAAAACTGGTTTTTATAATAAGTCTAAGAAGACTGATTTAAAACCGGTCTCTATATGTAATAAGTTTAATAAAAGACCGATTTATAAATTTATAATCAAAAACCAGTTTAAAGCAGTCCGTTTTTTAATAAGTCATAAGTCTAATAAAAGACTAGCCTAAAACTGGTTCTTATAATCGTGGTCCGGACCTTCATTATGAATTCATAATAAAAGACCAGTCTAAAGCCGGTCTTTATAATAAGCCTAATAAAGACCAACCTAAAACTAGTCCTTATGATAGAATTTATAATTAAGACTGGTCTAAAGCCGGTCTTATAATAAGAAAACTGTTCGTGGTCTGGACTTTCTTTATGAATCCATAATAAAAGACCAGTCTAAAACCGGTCTTTATAATAGGCTTAATAAAAGACCAACCTAAAACTGGTCCTTATGATAGAATTTATAATCAAGACTGGTCTAAAGCCGGTCTTATAATAAGAAAGCTGTTCATGGTTCGGACCTTCTTTATGAATTCATAATAAAAGACCAGTCTAAATCTGGTCTTTATAATTCAATCGGTTATAATAGAAAACCAGGGTCCTTATGATAATAAATTTATGCGAACTACGCTTTATATGCAAGAACCAGTTCAAAACTGGTCTTTATATTAAATAAAATTCACAAGAAACTAAATTAGATAACAATAATAATAATAAATTACTCTTTACAAGCTCCTATTTTTCAGGAATAACACTATTTTAATCTTTGTACGTAGTTCTTGTGAGTTTGTACGTATGTACTTTATCATTATAAATGTACACATGCATGTCAATTCTGTGTTAATTAATGTTATGTAACAGTTAACGTATGTACGTTGTGAAAGGGTAATTTAATGGGTATAAGGCTAAAAACTACTAATCCAACTAATCCCACACTAAAACTATCTAACTATCAACCTCAAGACTCCGAAATCTTGAAGTGACAGGCTAGAAAGAGGCGTAGAAAGACTTGGTCTGAGTTTCAAGGCTTCTGGGTCTTGCTGCGGCGTAACTGGAGA